TCCTAATCAAGAGGGAAGATCAGTTGGGCCCCTGGAGAGAAGGAGCCCTTGATAAGGGTAGAGGAGGCTGAGGGTGAGAGAAATCATTTGAAATCCAGCTGATTTTTTTTTTTGCTTTAGTTGGTGGCAGAACTGTATTGGGACTTAGAGTAGGAGACAGGGGGCTGGGCAGGCCTCTACCACTCTCAAAAGGCCAGGAGCCTCCTGCTGAGGACTTAGGCCCAAATTACTTTCCCAGAAGGGTTTTCCAGAGGCTTCCTTGACCCGCTAGTGGAAGACCAGGATGGAGTCTAGCTCAGCCTTTCCCCTGCCCCAGCCCCACATGGGGTTTCTGGGCCTTGAAGTCCCCCAGGCATGAAGGTCTGTTCCCTGGCCCTAGCACTGTTGACCAAGCCAGGGACTTACAGGACTGAGAAGAGCTGCTGGGAAGAGCCTACTTTTTCTACCCCGCACCCCAGATCTACTGAGAATGGTCCAGGATGTGCCCGGGATGGGAGAGGCAGATCCCTCGGAGAAAAGACAAGTGGAAGGGCAATGGAGTGGGGGAAACATTTATTTGACTTCAAGGAAAGCTACAAACAAATACCAAAAGCGAATCACCGAGACAGGCCCCGCAAAGACAGATTTCACACGTAGTACGGCATCCGCTCGCTCACTACAAATGGTCTTGGAAGCGAAATGGGTAAGGAACAGATGGGTCTGACCCAGACTGTCCCCATATTTACAAGCTTTGGGCCCTCTAGCCAGACCTATGGATTCACAGAGAAATACACAAGACATATTATACTGAGGATCATTTTTGTTTCCATATACTCCCAGACCAGGCCTTGTGGGGCCTACCCAGGCAGCAGGAACTTAAATCTCACCATCTTCTTTCTCTCTTCTGAATATCACCCCTTTGGTCCTCCCCAGCCTCATCCCACCCTAGAACCAAGCCCCTAGGAGACTTGGGCCTGGGGAGTGGGGAAGGAGGAAGAGGAGAATGAAAAGAGACTCCATCTCCGAGGCCAGTTCAGCTTGGCCCCACTGCGGTACTACCCCACCTCAACTGCTGCCCCTTAGAGAAGTTTCCAGCTGAAACTCAAAATACAGTGATCATCCTTTTATAAATAAGTTAGAACACAGATGGGGAGGGGAGAGTTCACATTAAACATGCGAATTTCTTTTTTTTTTTTTTTCCTGGGGGAAGGACTGCAACCACAGACACAAACATTCAGAAACACTGGTGGATTTGGGGCAAGCGGAAAGGAGTTGGGAGCATGTAGGGAAAATAATAATTATTATTATTATTAACAATAATAACAAGATAACCAGTCCAGGAGAGAGGGAGCCACAGGAAGACCTAAGACCAAACGAAATATCGAAATATCTTAACACAAGGCTGGGGCGAGGCAGGCTTGTGGGAACCGGTCCCCAGCGGGCTGCGGCAGTGCGGGGAGGATTGAAGGGGCCAGGGCTGGGGGTGGCACGGGCTCTTGGGCCGCTGGGCTCCTCTGGGCGGGCTCAGGGCTGGAAGGCGCTGCCGGCTGTAGCCAGGCTCATACTTTTCAGTTTGTTGTCCTTCTTCCACTTCATGCGCCGGTTCTGGAACCAGATCTTGATCTGGCGCTCCGACAGGCAGAGTGCATGGGCGATCTCGATGCGCCGTCGCCGGGTCAGGTAGCGGTTGAAGTGGAACTCCTTTTCCAGCTCCAGGGTCTGGTAGCGAGTATACGCGGTCCGGGCCCTTTTCCCGTCCGGCCCAGTCATATCTGGAGCAGAGAGGAAAGCCGCAGGCAATGTTATTCCGGTTAAGGGAGGGGGCACTGGGCGGGAGGGGGCGGGGGAGCAGGACCCAGGCGTCCCGGCACCCAGCTCACCACAGCTCCAATCCTCTCTACTCCAGATGCCCACATTCAAGCTCGATTTCAGTACCCCATTTTCCCGCATCCCCCACTTCTGCCGGCAGCCAATGCGCCCGGCTTTGTCTCTTGCTCACTCCTAGTGCCTCACCCTTGGCTGGGCTCAGGCGGTCGCTTGCCCCGGAGGGAGGAGAGTGGTTGCACTTTTGCCCCGGAAAGCTCCTTTTACTGCTCACCCTTTCTTTGCTAGCGGTAGTCTCAAAATTTCAGGGGTAAGCAGGACTCTTCCCCACATTACATGAACCCCATCCTTTATCCTAATGCTGGAATAGCTGGTCTAATAAAAACCTAATCCGAAGCTGGGAACAAATTATTTAAAATACCCCCCATCATAGAGAGACCCTGTTCGACTCTGTCTACAAAGCTATGAGGCCCCTCTCAGAGACTTCTCCCCCTTGGAAAAATAAATCTATATTTGGGGGAAAGCCAGGCTCTCCTTGTCCCCCCATCCTACCCCAAAACGCAGAGAAGGAAAGCTGAGAAGACAAAAAAGAGAGAATTACCGTGGCTGATGTGAAGCTTCCTCATCCAGGGGAATATCTGCGGAGTCTGCCCCTCGGGCGCGGCTGTGGAGGTGGCCATGGGCTCTGGCTGCGCCCGAGCTAGGCTGGGGCTGCTTAGCTGGCTCGCCGCTTCCTCAGGCTCCGAGGACGCGCTGGCCTCGTCTATTTCGGTGAAATTGGCGCTGGAGCTGGCCGAGGTCGCCTGGTCGGAGGGGGACGAAGCAGAGGGCTTGGCGCCGTGGCTGTCGCCGTTGGTGCAGGGCAGGGACTCGGGCGAGGACAGGGAGCAGCTCGAAGCTGCTTGCCTGAAGCGGGGCTCCTGGGCGGGCGCGGGGAAGGCGCGCGAGCTCTCGCCCACCGCCCCAAAGTGGCTGGAGGAGGCCGAGGAGCGGTTGACGCTGAGGTCCATCCCATTGTAATTGTAGCGGTAAGAGCCGGTGTGCATGGCAGCGGGATCCCTGTAAGAGCCGCTCAGAGAGCTGCCACTGCCATAATTTAGCAACTGATAGTCCGGGCCATTTGGATAACGCCCCGAGAAGGAGTTTACAAAGTACGAGCTCATTTGGGTGATTTTGGAGGGCTTGATTTGTGGATCGTGGTCGTTATAACCCTGTGCTTCACGATTTATGATGTATTAATGAATTATAGCGATGCACTGTACTTCGTTTTGCTATGTATGCGGCCAAATATGGGGGGGGGGTGGGAGGGGGGGGGGGGGGCGTTAGGGAATCACGTGCTTTTGTTGACCAGTCGTAAATTCTCGCTGATGACCTCAAGAGGTAATTCATGCTCTATGGTTACAAATAATGACGATCCGAGAATCGTTAGGGCCGATTCAATGCGAGCCTCCGAGAGAGGGGGGAAAAAAGAAGGGGGAGAAACAGGGAGAAGGTTGGCGTTGGCCTCTGAGCAGAGCGCGCCACCTCCCGGCGATCGACGGGAGCGCGGGCGGGAGACCGCCATGGCGGCTGCGGGTGCCTCCCTGTTGGCTCCCTGCAGCCGCCGGGAGAGAAAGAAACCCGGCCAAGGCTCAGCCACAGGGTTGAGCGTTTTAGAGCAGGCGTTAAGCTTTTTACCCAATTTCTTGTGGGTGGGGTTAGCCTCTCTACTTGGGTCCTTCTCCTTACATCATCATCGTCGTTATTATTTTAACTTTGGATGAGAAGATCAAAGATTAAGTTGCTTTTCCCTTTCTCCGGCTTTGCAAGTCTCTGAATTGGGGGCGGAAATGGGGGAAGGGTTGGAAGTTGTGTGTGAAAAACAATTATTGCAACGGTTTTTCCCCCGGAGCTCAGCCCGACCTGCATCCTGGAGGGACTGCTATTGCTGTGCACAGCTCCCAGGCCGAGCGTGGGGCTGGACAGGAGGCTTGAAAAAGCAGCAGGAGACACGTTCACTTCTCCTGGGCCACTTGGAAGTTCGAAATCCCCTTCCTGACCTCCTTGGTGTTCCTTAGCCCAGGCCTGGGGAGTGGCAGAGCAGGACAGGGACCCCAGAAGCCCAGCACAGCTGGGGCTAAGCGGCCTAGTTGCCGAAAAGACTGCAGCGGCCACCGTGTCCGGGGCTTGGGTTTGAGTAGTAACATGTGTCTGCGAGTTTGTAAAGCAGGACCCCTTCCCCTCCTCCTCGGCTACTGCATTCGGAGGCCCGACTCCAGGCCCCTCATTCGCAGCTGGGCAGTTTGAGAATTTGCCTGGTGGCAGCCGCCTTCCCGGAAAAGGGGTTCCAAGGACCCACACGGTTTGTTGAGCACGCTGGGCGCCCAGAGACCGCCGCAGCAGGGCCCCTATTACGAGGCGACAATTTTCTTTGAAAAGGGAGCAAGAGGGTGGAGGAATAAAGGAAAACAGTGTCCACAGCTTGCCCTCTGGGTGCCCGTGGGAGCGGAGAGAGAATGGGCCGTTCTGGGTTGAGAGGATGACACTAAATGCCCCATCACCTGGCCTCCTGCCCTGGGGTCTCCAAGGAGCAAGGGAAAGCCGTGCCCCTCGGCCTGTGCCTGGCTGGTGGCTTTACATTCCCCTACTTCTGGCTGATCTCCTACTTGAGGTGGGAAGGGGCACCTGGAGCCTTCAGCTGCAGGGCGAGAGATACCCGGTGGCCCCATTTTTCAGTCTCCAGAGCCACAGGCAGGGAGCAGAGGGCCAAGGCTGGTGAAGACCTGGCCATGTGGACAGCCCTAAGGCCAGGGGCCTCTGCAGAGGTGAGGACAGAAAAGTGCTGCAGAGGCCCCCAGACTCGATGGCTCCATCTCCACAAGAGAGCATTGGGGGCCTCAGTGGCTCCTTTAGTGCTGTAGACACAGGAGGAAAGGCTAAAGAATGAGAGAGAAACAGCCTCTCTCCATCCCCCAATCTTGCACGGGGAGAGGAGGCTGTGAGCCTCAGCACCAGGGAAACGCAGCGCTGGGGCTTGGCCAGGACAGATCATCGCTCCGGCCTTTATCTCAGCTGTAACTTCCCAGTCGAACAGGGCCCGCTACGGCGGGCCAGGGCTCTCGCCTTTGCTGAAGATTCCTGGCTCAGGAAAGATGGAGAGGCTGGGGGTTGGGGGAGAGGAAAAAATGGCGGGGGAAGATCGGAGGTGACCGAGCGTTGAGTTTTCACATCTTTATTATTATTATTAATATTAATATTATTACCGAAGTATTTCACGTCCAGAGCTAAGACAAGACTACAAACACAACACATAGAAAATTAATAAAATAGAACTTTGTTTTCTTCTGAGGCTCCTCTTCTTACTTCTAGGTAGTATGTGCTCCTTCCAGTGGCTTTAGGGAGAGGGTGGGAGAGACGACAGATCTGGGGTCAGGGAGTCTTCGAGGCCCCCGCTGAGGGGACAGCGAATCTACCTTTGAACCGTGCACCGGGGACATGGACGAAATGAGATGCGACAGGGACAAGAGCATTTTGCTCTGCTTCCAGGAAACATCAAGTGAGTCCGATCCTCAGTTCTCACTGGGAAGCCTGATCAGGCTGAGGCGGGTTTCTCGGGAAAGAAGGGCGAGGGTGGGCTCGAGCAGTGAGGCTTCTGAGCACCAGCCGGGAGCTGTGCGGGCGGGGGCGTCCAGGAGAGCGCTGGCCCCGCCTGTCGTGTGCCAGAGAGCAAGTCTCCTGGCTCCCCCACCCGAGAGCCTTCCTTCCCCGGGCTCTCCGACGCCCTTGGCTCCCACAGGCCTTTCCCCTCTCGTCCTCCCTCCCTTTCCAGCACCTTCACTCGGCAGGTTTTTCTTCCTCCTCCTCGGCACTGAGCTGAGAAGCGCTGAGCAGTTTGCTCTCCTTTTTCCACTTCATGCGTCGGTTCTGGAACCAGATCTTGATCTGCCGCTCCGTCAGGCACAGGGCGTGCGCGATCTCGATGCGCCGCCGCCGCGTCAGGTAGCGATTGTAGTGAAACTCCTTCTCCAGCTCCAGCGTCTGGTAGCGCGTGTATGTCTGGCGGCCTCGCCGGCCGCTGGGCCCAAAGGAGGAACCTGTTACGCAGAGTGGATATGCTGAGGCCTGGGGTCAGCGGGCCCAGGGCCCCCTCTCCTAGTCGACCCTCGAACACAGACTCCAGTCTGCACCCTGTACCGGGATGCCCTCCACTCTCCCGGTTCCCTTCCCCCTTTTCGCATTCCTCCAGCGCCCCCTCCAGATTCCCTCCTGGTCTCCTAGGCCTGTGCTGCCTGTCTAGACTCTAGATGGGGGAGGGGAGGAGCAGTTTGAACTCCCACCTGAGCCTGGGGGGAGGGGCTGGCCAGGTGTGTGTCTTCCTAGTTGCATTTTGTCTTTCCCTCCCTTTCCATCCATCCAGCTCCCCCCACCCCGCCCACCCAATGATAAATCCAGGCCCTTAATCCGTAATGACGTAGATCGATCCATAGTCCACATTAACGGCTCCTCACTTTCGAGTCTGGCTAATGGACGTCAATTGGGACTTAAGGCCAACAAATAATCCAACCTGAGACCCCGAGCCTGTTTCTCCCTCTCCCTCGCTCCGCCTGCTCCCTCTCTCTTCCTTCCCCTTATTCCTCCTCCCTCCTCTAACTACCACCCCTTTCCTGGTGCCTCATCTTGCCACGGCCCCCCACCCTCCGGAAAACACAGTCCCAGACACACTCAACTCTTCCTCTCCAGCGTCACCCCCACCCCCTTGCATGACGCACTCCGTTTTTAATGGAGCCGTCTTTGGTTGGGGGACCCTACCAGGGCTGAGAGAGGGGACAGGAGCTCCAAGTAAAGCCAAGTCAGTGACTGTGGTCCCCTGCTCCCTTCCTTGTCCTGGAACCCCCGGCTCTGGCCAGGCGCCCCAGGAGAGTCCACTCGCTTCCCCTGGCTCCCAGCACGGCTGGGACTTTGCAAACTTTGTAACTCCTGCCTACCAGGGCACAGGCGAGAAACGCCAAGCAGGCGCCCAATCTTCTTTTATCTCCTAACCGAGATGCCCACCCAGCACCCTGTGGGAGAATGGGGAGGGGAAACGCTCACTAGTTCTATGTCCCGGAGTGGGGGCCCACGGGAGCCAGGGCGACGGCGACGGGGAGTCTCACTCACTGTTGCACGAATTCATCCGCTGCATCCACGGGTAGACCGGAGTGGAGCACTTCTGCTCTTCCGTCTCGCCGAACACGCTCTTGTCCTGCGCGCAGTCAGACTTCCGCGGCTCGGGGTGGAACTGGGGCGGCTCGTCGGCGCTGGAGAGTGCGCAGGCCGACTCCTTCTCCCGGTAGAAGGCCGGCGCCGGCCCGTAGTCGCAGGGCGCCGCTCGGCCGTAGCCACCGCCCGCCGGCGGGTAATAGGAGGAAGTGGCAAAGCCCTTGTCCTGACCGGGCCCTGGCCCATAGGGCGCGGGGTAATGCCTCAGCGGGTCCGCATAGCCCGACGAGTAGAGCGGTAGCTGGCCCAAGAAGGACTCCTGCCCGCTGGCCAGAGTGACGGGGAAGGTGGAGTTCACGAAATAGGAACTCATTGGGAGGGGAGGCGCGCGTGGCCGCTGCTGCTCCGCCGGGTTTATGATTTGTTGTGTTTTATAGTCCGAGCGCCGCGCCTATTAGTAGTATATCCGAGATTGGGTTTTAGCTGAGGGGGGATGGCGAGGTGCCAGTGAGGGCCAGAAGGAAATACAACCATCTGATCCAACACTGACCAATGGCAGAGGCAGGAATTGTCAAATAGCACCCAGGAGGAGCGCAGCCCGCACGAGGGACCCGCGCACAAACCTATCAACCTTTTTTTCTCCTTTTCCTTCTCCTTCCTCTCTCTCTCTCCCCAACAACACAACGGGTCCTGTTCCACCTACGTAGGATCTGTGAAATAAGCTCTGTGCCTTTGAGGGAGAAGGGAGCGTTTAGATTGAGACCACCCCACTCCCGGGTGATTAAATAAATGTATCTCTTCCCCACCCCAAGCAGGATAGGAAAAATTTAATTGTGTTTTCAGAAAAGTTAACCCCTGCGTTGCTTGGGCCCCTTCCTTCCAGGGAGGGGTGGGTATATGTTTCCGAATCTCCTTGAGAGAGAGAGAGCTAAAGGTTTGTTTCTAGGGTTTTGTGTTGGTAGAAGGTGAGAAGAGTTCTCCGCTAAGACGAGAAAGAAGAAACACCCTCCTCCCCAGGTTTCGAACTTGGTTTTTCCTGTTTATCAGATCTGCCTTTTCTCCTCCAAGCCTCGGGTTATTGTTCCTGCTTCTCCACAACCCTTCTGATCTGAGGGGGCAGGCCAGATCCCACTACCTAGGAGACCCAGAAGACTGGGAGCTGGCAGGAGGGTCTGAGCCCAAGCGTCCCCCTCTGGCTCTGTGGCTAGGCTGGGAGCTTCTTGGAAGGCAGTGTCCCAACAGCTGCCCAAGACATCCTGCTTGCTTCTAGTATGCAGCTGCTCACTCTTGGCAGGGGAAGGGGCACTGGGGAAAGGGACTAGCCCTGTCCTCACTTGGTGATGTGGAGTGAAGGAGTCAGGGCTATCCCTCAGCCTAGGTGACTTTATTTGTCTGATCCCCGTCCTGCCTGTAACCCTCACTCCAGCACCCTCTGCAATCTCAAGAATAGCCTGGGCTATAGGATTTTTAGGAATCAGAGATGTCCCAGTAAATCTGGGCACGAGGAAGAAATCATTCCTCTTCCAGTTGTGGGTCCTCAAACCCTCCTGATAGTTGAGGCAGTCAGAGGCCACCAGGAAGAAAGACACCCCCACTCCTCTTCCGAGTCTCTGTAGGAGCTGGCAGTTCTTTTTAAAATTAATTCTTTCCCAATATTTGGTTTTTGCTCTAGTTTGATAGGGAGAGAAGGATGTTTGAGTTCTCCTGGAGACTCAGCAGGCAGCTTCCAGCCATCAGCCGGCGTCCCCTCTCCCTTCTGTCTGTCTCAGCATTGCTACAATTCCCGCTCACACCCCACGTTTGTATCATCAGCTTTGCTGCCTTACAAGCTTGGGTGTGTGAGAGAGTGTATGTCTCTGGCTCTTTCATCCAAGGAAAATGAGCATTGAAAGCCCAGGCTGGGAGACAGGGCCACAGTACTTTCCAGCCTTCTAATATGCATACACAGGCCAGGTAGTGAAGGATGACAACCCTCAGACCTGGGGACAAAAAGGGGTTGGGGCATGGAACAAAGTCAGATGTCAGGCCAGGCTGACCCTCCTCTGTCTTGTCCTTCCTTTGGGCTCTTTTTTCTGGCTGAGCTCTGCCCGCTGAAGATAGTATACAAGACACTAGGGAGGGTGGTAGAGGGCTGAGCTTGGAGGACCAAGGGTGGGAACTTATTAGGTTGCAACATGGTCTCCAAGGCTCTCTGAACTCAGGGCAACTTCTAAGCTGTAACTTAATGGCAAACTGGCCATCCCTAGATGTCCCTCCAATCACTTCCTGACTCTATAGGAGTTTCTGATAGGCATTTAAGAAAATAAATTAAACCCCCCTGATGATGAAGAACAATAAATATTCCAAATCTAGCTATGGTTGTGCTCACTTCTAGAATGGACTAGGGGCCATTTGAACAGAGGGAAAAAAGTGGGAGACAGTGCTTGCATGCACCTCCTCCCACTGCTGAGGCTGAGCCCTGGGTCTCAGCCTTCCCTGCCTCCTCCCTGGCCACAATGTCCCCATCCTAGCACTAAATAATGCAGTCTTCTCGGTAGAGTCTGAGCAAAATGAGATCTGGTGAGGAAGGGAGCATTTCCCTGTGACAGAAGCAGGAAAATAATTGTCTTATCCTTAGAGTGACAGCCCCCAAATTAACCTCACCTCTGCAGGTTGCTTGTCTGGAGATGGAGCCCCTCTGGGCAGGGCCTGGGCGCCTGGAGTCAGGCATGAAAGGAAATAGCGCCTCATCGCTCTTATCTAAACCCAGAGGTATTTATGAGCGTTTATTCGTCTGATCCATTTGTTTGGGAAAAAGAGCAGGCGGGCAGGGCTGGCCAGAGACCGACTGGTTTCTGGGGCCAGATCCCTACGAATCTGTCTGTGGTTCCATCCACCGACGTCTGTCTGTCTCCATGGGGGAATATGTAAATACACAGCGGGCACAGACTTCTGCCAGTCTAGGGTGTCTCTCCCTGCCTCAACGAGGAAGCGTGTGTTCAGAGAGATGGATAGAAATGTGTACCAATTCTTGAGTACATAACTGAGGGATTGTACCCCACAGGCAGGATTTATAATTGTAATTTTCTCTGCTGTGAGTTTGCAGTCCTGTGGGCAAGCTAAGACATTTCAGCTCTCAGGAAAATGTTTCCTAAGTTGTGTTTAGTTCAGGAGTAAAATTCTTGATAGGTAACCTCAGGAGAGATATTTGCCTTTGTGTGTGTGTGTCTGTGTCTGTGTGTCTGTGTGTGTGTGTGTTATGATGTGTGTGTGGAGGGGGCTGAGACATAGTCCAGGCTTCCAATTTCCTCTAAGCTATAAAGCCCTCCCCCTCAGCTCTTTGGGGTGGTGAGCACCTTCCCTCACCACCCCCAACTTTCGTTGGGATAGTGTTGGATGAAAACATTTCAATCCAATTCTCGTCCTGGACTCTGTTTCTCTGGGTTTGGGGAACATAAATGTTACCAGGGGTACTGAGTGATTACTCCCATAGGTTGGAGGAGGCTCTTTAGAGGAGACACATTGCCCCAAAATCGGCCCCGGCAAATCAAGGTACAAAGACTTCATTTTCATTATGCAAATGAGTAGCCTACTCTTTGATCTTTAGGGGGAGCGGGCAGTAGCGCTGAGCCCACTCTCCCAGTTTCCTACCCCCAGGCCCAGAAGCACCCCAAGGGTACTAAAGTGTTTCAATACCCTGTACCATCTCGACTTCTCTACCTGTCCTTTGGATTGCCCAAAAGCAAAACAATTTCGGAGGGGACCAAGACCTTCGAGGCTGGCTCCTTCAGGGCCTCGCCTACAGCAACTCGCTGAGCCGGGCCTTATAGCCGCCGGAAAGTCACTCTCACTGCGGAAAAGCTGAAAAGAGCTGCTCCAGAGGCCCAGGCTCCAGAGGCACCGGAAAGTGCGGGGGCCGCAGCCGCAGTGTTTGTCCCCAGCACCACCAGGTCCCTCGACCTCGTCAGCTCCTCTAGCCCTGGGCCAGACTCTGGCAACACCTTGGCTTGCCTGGTACCACAGGCAACTTCCTGGAACCCGTCTCCCAGGAACTAGGACCACAGCACCTTTAAAGAAACTGCCAGAACTTCCTCCTACGGCTTGAAAGCCGGAGCTAATCAGTAACCCGTGAGACAGGGGCCAATATTCAAACGTTCAAACACGGCAGTGGAGGCGCAGAGCCCAGCCCTGGCCACCCCCTCCTGGGAAGGCGGTCGAGTTAAGCCAGTATAAGGGGTCCAACAGGAACGGAAATTACGACGGTGTGGTTCCTTAATGATTGAGCCCCAGTTCCACTACTAATTTTTTTCCCAAATCATATTTACGTCGATCTCGCTTGAAACGATCGAGAATGGGGGAAGGGAGCGGCACTCACTTGCAGACACCAACAGTTTCCAGAAAACTCAGTTCAATTCCTTCACCATGGACCCACCGACCAAGGAACTGGCAAGACCCACCAGCCAACCAGGAGAACACAGACCCGGTTGTCTTTTGACAACCGAGTGGAACTGCCGGGGCCGCCGCGGCCCCCTCCCTTGGCTGAAAAGAAAACCAAATAAACCTTGAAACAGCCTTGGCTTCGGATCTCTCAAGCGGCCCCATTCTCTCCCGCGCCTTGGTGGGATGGGAGTGAGGGAGGGGGTGGGGATGGCGGTGGGGGTCTCGGCTCTGATCCCTCCACCCTTTGGTTCAGGGCCCCTGGTCACTGGATGCAGAATTAGACCTTTTTAAATGTGTCCTAGAGGAAGCCGCTTCCCCTTCCCCTCCCAGCCTCCAGGTTTGAGGCTGGGATGGGCGGGAAGGGTGAGGGGGCGGGGAGAGTGGGGAATTGAGGATGATGGGTGGAGGAGAGACTTGTTCTGTTCTCTAACCCATACCAGGGAACCAAGATCCAGCTGAGAGCGTCGGCGTGGGCCCGAAATCCCCCGAATCCCGTGGACCCTGCGCTGCCAGGGCTCCAGGCGTCGGGCACTGCCCGGGCAGTGTCGCGGGCTTTGCGGCGCCGAAGCCGCGTGTCTCCGAACGGACGGTAGATGGCAGCAAACCGCATAATTTGGGTCACAGTGAACTGTCTAAGGGAGGATTTATAACCCTCCAAGACTACAGGAGAAAAAGACCTTTAGTGTGGGTGGGTTTGGGAAATGTATCCCTTGAGAATAAGCCTTGAGTGCCGTGGATGCTGGCGGAGACCTCTCGCTACGAAACCGAGCGGTCCCTTCCGGCGCCCAGGCCGGGCCTGAGCCTAGGGCATCTACCCCGGGCCCCAGAGCCCCTTCTTTCGCGCCACAAGTGGCCCTCTCCCAGCTTAGGACTGAAATAATAAATATACCCCCACTTCCAACACACCCCAGGCCCTGTAACTCCGGAGCGACCAGAGGCTCGAGGCTGAACGTCCTGCATCTGGTCTTAAGAAAGAGAAAAGCAATCACATGTTCGTGCAAACCAAACTAAATCACAATCTCTCCTGCCCTCCACAGCCAACTTCACTTATCTCTTAGCTGGAAACTTCCCCCAGAAGCTCCCTTGCCCCATTTTTAAGTCCTTGCCTCAAGGCTGGCTCCCACTTCCACCCCACCAGCTACTTGAAGAATCTCTGTCTCCTGCCCAATGGTTCTCCGCCCTCCCCACACCCCTAGAAGGCCTGACTGAGAGATAAATTGGACACCCGGGGGACGGGACTGCCTGAGCTCAGTGCCAGTTAGCTTTCCAGTTTAAACACCACTAGGTCCCTTAACTGGATTTTCTTATTTTCTTCTTTCATTTCTTTCTTTTTTGTTTTTATTTACAAGCCTAAAACAAAAACGCACTTAACAGCTTATTCACAATCACCACGTTTGGACCCAGGAAAGTTTGAAATGTTATCATATCAGACACACACGGCAATTTTTTCCTCCACCGAAATCCACACATCCCATACCAATACAATGCAAATAATAGAATCAATGTCGCGCAGAAACCAACAGCTGTAACCTACCGCATTAAAACCACAAAACTGTCTCCCTGCAGAGCGAGGCTCCCTCCTGCTTGACTGGCGAGAGACTTGGGCATTCTCGGGCAAGCTTCCTGGGGGGGGGAGGGTCTCCCTCATTTTTGGTGTCTCCACCCACAGCCCTTTAATTTCAAAAACGTCTCCGAAGGGAGATAGTGAACATTTCTATGTAAATTGTCTTTTCTGTGTTTCTCTAGCCGCCTCCTCTCCCTCGCCGGCCTTGGCGGAGATTCCAGGCCCTACAGAGACCAGGACGTCCCTTAGCGCCACCGCCCCACATGCCAATGCTGCCGGGAACCCGGCGATATCCGCACCAGGCAAGAGAACTGCGCGGGGGCAATAGCCAGAGGCTGGGACAAGGGAGGGATGGTAGGAGGAGGAGGGGGCAAACCCACGGAGGCCATAACAACTGACTTCTTTGGGTGCCACTGAAGCCCAGGTGCCCCTATCCTCTCTTTCGCGGCCCCCTTGTTTGAGTCTCTCCTCCAAGCTTAAAAAGGCAACTTAGAGCTTGTCTCCTGGCCCCCTTTATATTCGTCTTCCCGCTTCCCCTGCCTTGGCTCCCCCTCCAGGAAGCAGCCAACCCTCTCTCCACCACCGAATTTCCTGGAAAGCTTCTCCCTGCAGCGCCCAGAGGTGGGGTTCAGCCCCGTCTTGGAGTAGGGGAGGAGGGAGAAAAACCCAAGCCCCACCCCCCTACAAAAGCGATGCAAAAGAACCCGAAGAAAATTGTAGAATCTCCCTTACCTTTGCAGACCTTGGGGTTTTTTTTCCCCTCCGGATTGAAAGGAATGGGGAGGGAGGAAAGAAGGAGCATTCAGTTTCTTCTTCAGCTTCCAGATAATATTGTCCCAACGTGAGAGCCGTCGCTTCCCCTTCTCTGACTTGGGAGAGAGGGTGTTTCATTTTTCTGACATTTGCATAGAAAATGGAGTAAGTTCTGGCTTTGAAAAATAGTATCAGGCTGCAGTCCTGGGCAGATTGTCCATTTACCCTCCATGATGACTAAAATCCCAGATCAGTGAGCAAATTAACTTAGGAATCAAAATTATTTTTGGTTCTCTCTTTGTGTAATTCCCACCCCTCCTGCTCTCTCTCTCCCTCTTTCGCTCTCTCTCTCTTTTCTCCTCACCCCCCTCTCTCGTCCTCTCTCTCTTTTGCTCTATCGAGCTGATACTGAAGTATAAAAATATCAAGAGGCTGGAGCCCTGAAGGACGACAGTGCTCCGACCTAGGTGTGGTGTCCAAAAGAATGCTGCATTATAACCACCAGGGAAATGATAAAAAGTTCATGTTCACGATCGCCCGGCCACATGACCGGCGCCGGCCAATCGCTGGATTCAACCACTCATAAACTTCTATCACAAAGTTGTAAATTTTCATAAAACAACAAGGAATTTATTGCATTTCTTCATGGCTGCTCCACCAGCAACCCTTTTCTCAGTCGCCATCTTCTTTTCTTCTCCTTCTCTCCTTTTGGGGAAACCCCAATCTGAGAAGGGGTGAGATTTGGGGGGGGCAGAGAATCAGAGTGGAGAAGCTATAAAGGTGCAGCTGGAAAGGGGGTTCTTTTCCGAACCTCCCTATTTTCCACAGGAGCTCTGCTCCCTCCTCTAATAAAAGTCTACCCCAAATCTGCAGAGGGACTGTTCTGATGCAATTTGGGGTGAGACGGGAGCAGAAGCCGGTGTCTAGTGTCTAGAATTGCCATCTGCACGTGGGCAAAATGAAAGCTTCGGTGTTCCCTCTCCCCCGCTGAACTGGCCTCCTCATTCCTAGCCCTGTAAATGGCAGGACACCCACCTGTGAGGCTTGCAGCATTGCGGGCGAGGGGGCCTTAGATCCCCCAGGGTTTAGTTTTTGCCCCAGGAGGAAAGGTAGCTTGGATGGGGGGGTGGGCAAGGCTGATAGTCTGACAACCAGATTCTCGCCTCCGCAACCCAGAAACTGGGGGAGGGTCAAGCCGGATCCTGGCCTCTCCCGCCCAAATGCAGGCAAGTCCAGGTTCCCTATTGACAGCTCCCCGCGCTCTCCAGGGGTTTACGTGGTCAATAATGGGGGAAAATGCAGGTTTAGAAGCCTTTCACAGACAAATTCAAATTCAACAGATCATCCTAAAACCAACCCTCCTTCCTCTTTCTTTCCAAAGTCTGTTTTTTAAATTTAAATAATCCAGCGTTTATAATCGAATAAATGCTAAAAATCAGTTCGGCGATTCTAGCTGCATAGACACCACCCTCCAGGTCTTGATCCTGCAATCAGCGGGTATTTGAAAGCAAAAAATAAAATAAAAATTCAGCCCAGGTCTCCCAGGTCCCCTGAAATATCCCCATATTTCAAGTTGAGCTACCAATGACCAAATTCAGGAAACGAAATAACCTCCCCTGCCCCAATTTTTTTTTTTTTCTCTCTGTCTCTCTCTCTGTGCTGCGGAGAAGGTTCCAGGCTGCTGTCGGCGGCGCGGAGAGCGGGCGGAGAGGCGCGGAGGAAGCCCCGGGCGTGGCGCGGCCAGGCTCCGAGAGCGGCCGGGATGCGGCCACACCGCTCAGGCTCTTGCTGCCGGACTCATTCCCTTCTCCACTCCCCATTTTAAAGTTTTATTTGGGTCGCTTGTGTCAGTTTAGAACGAGATAAATTAAGACAAAGAAAAGTAAAATAAATCGAAATAAAATAAAGTACTAGCTCTTGCCGAAAATGTTTGTCGAACAAGCAGGAAGCCGTGAGCGCCCTAGCTGGAGGCTGCTGTGCACGGACTGAGAGCCTCTACTCCCTGGCGTGGCCTCCACCCAACGCCACTCAAGAAGCCGGAGTGGATTTGGGTGTTCATTTCCCTTTCCTTCGGCTCTTCCTTCGTATGGGGCCTAGCAGCTTGGATTTCAGCTCTGTCTCTGTGCCCGCCGAGCTGCAGCCCACATCCAGATCCCGCAGCTTGGTTTCCAGGCCTGAATGAGGAAGCGGGTTTGTGGAACTGTGAGGTTTTTGTTGTTTTGAGAGCGTGTGTGACTAAGCATGTGGGCTCCTGAATGCGTTTACTTGGGGGCAAATGTGAATTTGTGTTTATAAGCCAATGTGTGAATGTGCGTTGGTATCAATGTATCTGTGAGTGAGTGTGAATGTGTGTTTACTTGTGAGTGTGTGTGAACATGAATGTGTATGTTCTGGGCATGGAGCTGGGATTATATGAATGCTTGTATGTTTATTTGTTAACATATGGATATGAGTGTTTGTGACCGTGACAGTGTGGATATGTGTGATGTCAGCCTGTAAACACATGTGATTGTGTGCATCATGTATCTCAATGTGTGTAAAAGAGTGTAAAGGGAATGCATGAGTGAAATATCGGGGTTCACTAGTTGGCAGCCCCAACCCAGAGCAGGAGGCACCAAGAAAAAGAACAAACCCAGCGCATAAATGAACCTGCATCAGAAGTCAGAGCCAAGGGGTCATCGATAACCCCCACCCCTTCCCAGCCTTACACAGAATATAGGGCATTTGTTTATTTTGAATTGTGTTTTATTTTTCCATCTTTTAGATACACATAGAATGTAAAAGGGAGCATGGGGCCAAGGGACGGGGAGCAAGGAGCAGCGGCCAGGCGCTTGGAGAACACGCGAGTTGTAGGTTTTGGGGCTCCCTAAGGCCCCTTGGTGCTGCTACTGGGAAGGCTCAGGAGGGCAGGCAACCACAGGGTTAGTCCAGACCCAAGTCCACAAAGACAGCATCAAAGAGGGCTTACAAAACAGCAAGATTTTACAAAGACCTTACAACAGCAACATAGAAAAGGGTAGGTAAATTCCAGAAAGCTACAGAACAGGTAGATAATGTCCTTCTCATCCTGCACAAAAAAAAACCTGACAGACTTTCCGATAGGTAGTATTTTTTCAGCGTTGAAAAACCAATATTTCACCTTTCTCTCTCCTCAAAAAAAAAAAAAATTAAAACTTATTTTATTTAAATAGTTTTCGTTTGTTTGTTTTTACTTTCCTATTTGATTTGAGTTTCCTGATTCAGTTCCCATAGCTGGGCTTCTCCTCCTCTCCCTTTCTCATCTCTCTTCCTCTGCCCTTTCTCCATCCTTCACTCTTCCTCTTCCTCCTCTGCTTCAGCCTTGTCCTGGCCGGTGGTCCCGGGTCCCGCGGTCTTGTTCTCCTTTTTCCACTTCATGCGCCTATTCTGAAACCAAATCTTGATCTGTCTTTCTGTGAGGCAGAGCGCGTGCGCGATCTCGATGCGCCGCCGCCGCGTCAGGTAGCGATTGTAGTGAAATTCTTTCTCCAGCTCCAGGGTCTGGTAGCGGGTGTAGGTCTGGCGGCCTCGTTTGCGGTCGGTTCCTGCGCACAGTATTTAGAGGAAAATCAGTGAGTGCAGAAAACTCCAAAAGAGTGCTCACCTCCCTCTTAGACCCTGTCTGTGATCTGAAGTTGATGGGTGAAGAAGCCTTTTCCCACTAAACCAAATTCTGGCTTTCCATACCCCAGCCCTTATTCCAGCTGCAGTATCCCTTCAATTGCAGAATTTTCTACAGGCTTCTCAAGGCAAACATTCCCATTTTCTATCCAAGAAGTCTTTTTCAGCCTGGAGCTTCTGAACCCAGGAAAGTAACCTGCTGGCTATTGAAGGCTCTGCTCCTAGGGGGTGCAAGGGGAGATTAATCCTCCTTTCACTCTCTAGGATCAAGGACCCTAAACCTCCTCTTTTGAATGCTGATCTGATGGTCTTTCCAGTAGAGGCCAACAGAAACCATGCAAGTGACCCTGGAATGGGGTACCAGGCCTGGCTTGAGAATGTTTCCCAAGAAGAAAAGGAGACAAAGGGGCCTCAAAGGCCCAGTCCCTCCAACTGGCCCCCAGCATGTTATGGAATGTGAAGGTAAGAATTTGCAGATTTCCTTGGAGCAAAGAGTTGGTCTAACAGCAGTTGAACCTCTGATGATTCTTTTCCAGTGAGTGGCTAAGCTTCAGACAGGGCCAGGGTGTCCTGCCTGCCTGCTTGCCTAGACAGCCCAGCTACCTAAAGCAATCTTTGGGCCTCCAGGAAGGCATGGGGGAGAGGAGAAACAGCAGCCTGGGATAGGATGGAACATGGAGTATCTGGGTGGTGAGGGCCAAAGGGCTGAGGGGAACTTCTGCATTAGGCCCAGAACCCTGAGGAGACTTGAAAGAGGTGCTCCTGGGAAGGAGACAGGGGAGGAGGGGTTGGGGCCCTAGTTTCAAGTCACATAAAAGTCAAGCTGAAATGCCTATGAGCAGAAAAATGGGGGCTTTGATAAATCAACTGGAAAGGCAGTTAAACTATGGAGCAGGTAATGGGGTCTATAACCACCAATACTGATGGTGTGAGAGCTGGGCTTCTTCTGGCCCCTGACCATCACTGGGCTGGGTGCCTCTGACCATGAGTCTTGGGTCTTCTGGACTTTGGGGCTAGCCCCCAAGTTCATCTGCAGTGGAACAGTGCAGAAAAGAATGTCTGGGCCAGACTTGGCAGGGACCCTATGGAACTTCAGCCTCTTGGGGTTCCTGCAGCAGCTGGCTGGGTGAACTGCACTCTCTAAGTTTTGATTTGGCTCCAGAGAGTCCTAGCCCCTTCCCGAAGAGGAGGGTCACTTATCTGGAGTGATACCTCCAAACCTGGCCAGTTTTTTAGGGGTGCCTAGGAGCCCTAGGAAGAGCACCTGAGGAAGCTGCAGTCCCATGAGGCCTCTGCCGCTTTCTAGTTCTCCTGTTCCGCTCTCCTACCCAAGTTCACTGGGGTCAGGAGGCTCATCTCTCTTGGTCTCAGCCCCCTCCCTCCACCTGCCTCTCTGGCTCTGTGTCCCTGGCTGGGTCCTTTTCTCCTCCCGTCAGGCCTCTAGAGCCCACCACTAATTGAGCTGATGGGAATAATGGGAGAGCGGGGTTCGCTGGAAAGGAAGGGGGAGGGGAGAATTGCTTAGCGCTAAGGCCCCCTCCCCGATACCTTATTCGAGCTAGGGTAGGGGGACACACCCAGGGCTGAGGTCCTTAGCTAAGAAGGGGGAGGGGGAGACCCTAATGGCTATTCTCTGCAAACCCCAGCCTTCCTCCGCGAGACAAACGGCCTCGTCTCCAACCCGTGCCGGCGCTGCTGATAAATATTTAAAGCTAAAAGGCCGAGAGGAAGGGTGGGGGCGGGCTGGGTGCTCGCAGCGCCTTGGCGTCGGCGAAGACAGACCCGCCGGGAAGCAGAGCGAGCCTGAGAGCACCGAGCAAATATGGGGGCGGGGGCGGCCGCGACCAGTGGGTGCAGCGTTCCAGGGCCGGCCTCCGGCTGGGATCACTCTGGACGCGGAAAGAGGCGCCCGGCCGGGAAGGGGGCGCCTTCCGAGTAATGTGCTCGGGCCCCTGGGGCTCGGGACAGCTCGGTGCGCGGCGTTACCTGAGCTTCGCATCCAGGGGTAG